CCTCGTGTCGTTACGTCCTTGCCCCCGTGGAGGGTCCCTCTTCATACGTTTTGTAGAACCTTGACCCGCATGATTAAAGCTTTTTCCCTTCCTACAGTTCTGAAACGCCATTTCTTTACTCACGTTTCTTCACACTCCCACTCCATCTCCTTCTTCACAGATGGCTCTAAGTCTGCCAGAGGTGTAGGCTACTCCGTTGTATTTCCTGACTGCACCTATATGTGTCGCCTGCCTCTGGAGACTAGCATCTTCACGGCAGAACTTTATGCAATTTTGTATGCACTTCGTCAACTGCTTTCTCGCTGTTCATCTCCTTATGTTGTTGTAGTTGACTCTCGCAGTGCCCTTGTGGCTCTGGGGTCCTTTAATGCTGTCCATCCTGTGGTCGTCGAAATTAAACATTGTCTGTTTCTTATCTTCAGGAGATTTAAGACAGTTGAGTTTTGCTGAGTTACCAGCCATATTGATGTGTTCTTAAATGATCATGTAGATGCTTCCGCCAAGGAAGCATCCGCACTTGTCCCATCTCCCGTAAAGGTGTTCCTTATTACGACCTCTACCCAGTTATTCATTCCTCAATCCGTGCCCGTTGGCAGGATCACTAGTCTTCTGTTACTGGTAACAAGCTGCGTGCTCTTAAGGTATCTCGTATTGTATCCCCATGTGTCCTCATACCACTGTTACCTAACCGGCGGTGAGAAACTGCCCTAGCAAGGTTACGTATTGGGCACACCCATGTAACTCACCAGCACTTAATACAGCGCCTCCCTGCTCCTTATTATCCAAACTGCATTGTCCCTCTTATGGTCGTGCACATCCTTGTTGAATGTCCTGACTTCCAGGACGTGAGTGTGTATTGCTTCCCGACTGTCCCTGCAGTCACCTGTCACTTGCGGTTACCTGTCCCTCGATAGAATCCTTGGTGAATCAGATACCTTTGATGTTGTTCGTCTTATGGATTTTTTGTTCTCGTATTGTCATTCTTAGTAATATTTAGCGCCTTTTGAAAATCCCGCACGTTTGATGGTGCTATATAGCCTTCCCAGCTTGGTGCCTGTTTTTGATTATTACTTACTTTTAGGAGTGACTTCAGAACTCGACTGTTTACCCAGTCCGCAATAAATATCCTGACTACAGAACTCGATCATTTACCCACACTAAAACGGACCCTTTTGTATGGGTGATACGGAACTCGACCATTTGCCAAAACCAAAATGGTTGAGTTCTGTAGTCATTCCTCTAACTACTGTCATAATTTTCTTTTTGTTGTAGATAAATACAAGAAGTCCACATTCCAGTGAAACAATGTTTATAGTTAATCTACCAGTTATAACAAATAAATAAATACAGGGAGCTCTACTTATTTCGTCGGAGGGTTATTGTGAACCTGAGGTCGCCAGCACCAGCTCATCCCTGGCTCCTCTCACCACGAAAAATCAAAACAAGGATACTCCTGATACATAATACACATATATGTAAAGACAATAACAAAAACTGAAACAGACCTGACCCTAACCGACCTAGGCCTAAATAATCTTTATCATCATTTAGTACATATATGTGCTATACTAGAACTAGGAAAAGTTAAGTCTTTTTGTTATCTTCTTCATGGGGCCCTCTACACAATTTTTCAAACAAACGTAGACTTTTTATGGGTAAAACGGTCTACATCTTCCTACATTCTGTACATGATCCTCATAGTTACAAACTTTAAGGAAGACAGGTTACTTTGTTAACAATAAACTTGCTAACGTCGGATAATATATTTTAATAGAAGCCGTGCTGTTTAGGATTTTGGAATGTTCAGCTTAATACTTTTAACTATTTTGTTGTAATGAAATGATTGAAAACATTGCAACCGAATGCACAACAGCTCAATTGTCTCTGAACTCCTTCCCTCATTACTAGCACTAAACAGCTAAAACTTAAATTGTAATGTGCTTGTTTTTTTAAATTCGACATATATATATATATATATGAGTACTTAATAATGTAAAAAAATGTCAAGTTGTTGTGAATCCCCCCTTACACATTAAGCTGGAACTGCTGATATAAGTCAAGCCAAATACAAATAATTGTGAACAAAATAAAATATATCTATCCTATAATAGGCCGAGCCATGAAAAAATTATAATATACAATATTATAAATATTTATTCTAGAAAATAAAAATTTTGGTTGATATTTAAGTACGTTAAAATATATGAATGCATCTCTGCGGTCGGGCCCCTGCTTGGAGGAGAATGAGTCGGACAGTAGAAGATTTTCGTGCTCTGTGTTCAGCAGGCTGTTCTATGTTCAGCAGTCAACAGGCTGCTCTATGTTCAACAGTCAGCAGGCTGCGCTATGTTCAACAGTCAGTAGTCAGCAGGCTGCTTTATGTTCAGCAGACTGCTCTGTATTCCGCAGTCAGCAGGTTGCTCTGTGTTCAGCAGTCAGCAGGCTGCTCTGTGTTCAGCAGTCAGCATGCTGCTCTGTGTTCAGCAGGCTGCTCTATGTTCAGCAGGCTGCTCTATGTTCAGCAGGCTCCTCTATGTTCAGCAGTCAGCAGGCTGTTCTGTGTTCAGCAGTCAATAGGCTGCTCTATGTTCAGCAGTCAGCAGGCTGCTCTATGTTCAGCAGTCAGCAGGCTGCTCTATGTTCAGCAGTCAGCAGGCTGCTCTGTGTTCAGCAGTCAGCAGGCTGCTCTATGTTCAGCAGGCTGCTCTATGTTCAGCAGGCTGCTCTATGTTCAGCAGGCTGCTCTATGTTCAGCAGGCTGCTCTATGTTCAGCAGGCTGCTCTATGTTCAGCAGGCTGCTCTATGTTCAGCAGGCTGCTCTATGTTCAGCAGGCTGCTCTATGTTCAGCAGGCTGCTCTATGTTCAGCAGGCTGCTCTATGTTCAGCAGGCTGCTCTATGTTCAGCAGGCTGCTCTATGTTCAGCAGGCTGCTCTATGTTCAGCAGGCTGCTCTATGTTCAGCAGGCTGCTCTATGTTCAGCAGGCTGCTCTATGTTCAGCGGTCAGCAGGCTGCTCTATGTTCAGCAGGCTGCTCTATGTTCAGCAGGCTGCTCTATGTTCAGCAGGCTGCTCTATGTTCAGCAGTCAGCAGGCTGCTCTATGTTCAGCAGTCAGCAGGCTGCTCTGTGTTCAGCAGTCAGCAGGCTGCTCTATGTTCAGCAGGCTGCTCTATGTTCAGCAGTCAGCAGGCTGCTCTATGTTCAGCAGTCAGCAAGTTGCTCTATGTTCAGCAGGCTGCTCTATGTTCAGCAGTCAGCAGGCTGCTCTATGTTCAGCAGTCAGCAGGTTGCTCTATGTTCAGCAGGCTGCTCTATGTTCAGCAGTCAGCAGGTTGCTCTATGTTCAACAGGCTGCTCTATGTTCAGCAGTCAGCAGGTTGCTCTATGTTCAGCAGGCTGTTCTATGTTCAGCAGTCAGCAGGTTGCTCTATGTTCAGCAGTCAGCAGGGTGCTCTATGTTCAGCAGGCTGCTTTATGTTCAGCAGTCAGCAGGTTGCTCTATGTTCAGCAGTCAGCAGGCTGCTCTATGCTCAGCAGGCTGCTCTGTGTTCAGCAGTCAGCAGGCTGCTCTATGTTCAGCAGTCAGCAGGCTGCTCTGTGTTCAGCAGTCAGCAGGCTGCTCTATGTTCAGCAGTCAGCAGGCTGCTCTATGTTCAGCAGGCTGCTCTATGTTCAGCAGGCTGCTCTATGTTCAGCAGGCTGCTCTATGTTCAGCAGGCTGCTCTATGTTCAGCAGGCTGCTCTATGTTCAGCAGGCTGCTCTATGTTCAGCAGGCTGCTCTATGTTCAGCAGGCTGCTCTATGTTCAGCAGGCTGCTCTATGTTCAGCAGGCTGCTCTATGTTCAGCAGGCTGCTCTATGTTCAGCAGGCTGCTCTATGTTCAGCAGGCTGCTCTATGTTCAGCAGTCAGCAGGCTGCTCTATGTTCAGCAGTCAGCAGGCTGCTCTGTGTTCAGCAGTCAGCAGGCTGCTCTATGTTCAGCAGGCTGCTCTATGTTCAGCAGTCAGCAGACTGCTCTATGTTCAGCAGTCAGCAAGTTGCTCTATGTTCAGCAGGCTGCTCTATGTTCAGCAGTCAGCAGGCTGCTCTATGTTCAGCAGTCAGCAGGTTGCTCTATGTTCAGCAGGCTGCTCTATGTTCAGCAGTCAGCAGGTTGCTCTATGTTCAGCAGGCTGCTCTATGTTCAGCAGTCAGCAGGTTGCTCTATGTTCAACAGTCAGCAGGTTGCTCTATGTTCAGCAGGCTGCTTTATGTTCAGCAGTCAGCAGGTTGCTCTATGTTCAGCAGTCAGCAGGCTGCTCTATGCTCAGCAGTCAGCAGGCTGCTCTGTGTTCAGCAGTCAGCAGGCTGCTCTATGTTCAGCAGTCAGCAGGCTGCTCTATGTTCAGCAGTCAGCAGGCTGCTCTATGTTCAGCAGTCAGCAGGCTGCTCACGGTTCAGCAGGCTGCTCTATGTTCAGCAGTCAGCAGGCTGCTCTATGTTCAGCAGTCAGCAGGCTGCTCTATGTTCAGCAGTCAGCAGGCTGCTCTATGTTCAGCAGTCAGCAGGCTGCTCAAGGTTCAGCAGGCTGCTCTATGTTCAGCAGTCAGCAGGGTGCTCTATGTTCAGCAGTCTGCAGGCTGCTCTATGTTCAGCAGTCAGCAGGCTGCTTTATGTTCAGCAGTCAGCAGGCGGCTCTATGCTCAGCAGTCAGCAGGCTGCTCTGTGTTCAGCAGTCAGCAGGCTGCTCTATGTTCAGCAGTCAGCAGGCTGCTCTTTGTTCAGCAGTCAGCAGGCTGCTCTATGTTCAGCAGTCAGCAGGCTGCTCAACCTGTCAGAAGCATCACGGGGAACATTCTTGCTCAGCCTTTAAGAAATATAACACGGAGAATGGTGCATATAAGAGGTTTATCAAGTCTCTTAATAACTCGCTTGATATATTTACTTTTGTTACCATGAGAATGTTACAATTGCCTATTTATATGAGTAAAATATTAAATTTTAACTTATTTTCCTAACTCTTGTCAGGTGTCGACGGCAGACGTGGTATTGATACACTTACGGAGTGTGGCAAGTAGAGAGAAGGTGCTGGTGGACCTAGGTCCACGCGACCCTTCTCAGCCCTGGGTTATGTTTGAGCCAGAAACACATTTACAGTCTAACGTCCTCTTCCATACGAATTATGAGTTGCTAGACGGGTTCTTCAACCGCACGATGCACCACCGGAGAGACTCAGACATCCTAGTGCTCCATGGGTTTATTGTGGGGCGTGGCCGGGACGCTTCCTTCCTGCCTCCATCTTGGCGTCAAGATCCTGTACTGTTTCCTAACAAAACCAGGAGGAAACTGGCCGTGGCGTTCGTTTCCAACTGTAAGGACAACAGTGGAAGGTTACAATATATCCGAACTTTGAAGAAATACGCCCGGGTTGATGTGTATGGCAGATGCGGCGACCATAAGTGTGGAAGTTCTCGATATGCTGAGCACGCATACAAACCTGCAACGGATCCCTGCATGAGGATGGCTGGCGATAGTTACCTGTTTTATTTGGCGTTTGAAAACGCCTTATGTACGGACTATGTAACGGAGAAGCTGTACAAACTTCTTTACTATCCACTAATTCCTGTGGTGCTTGGGGCGGCCAACTACAGCGCCCTCATGCCTCCTGGCTCCTATATCAACGCCCTGCACTACACACCCCAACAACTGGCTTACAAAATGAAATACCTCGCCGATCACCCTCAGGTAGGCTCAAAGGTGCATTGGAAATGTCTGCCGCTCGTGGCCAAAACACAATTTTGTGCCCTCTCTTTTCCCTCGAATAATCAAACCCACGCACCTCCTATACTCTTAACGTTCTAACCTTACATAGCAACCCCTTTCTAACTTGGAACAATGTCTGACCATTATCAGGGTGTCCTAATTTTTATCAGAGACCCTCGATAAAAATATTAATAAACACACAAATGCTTACTACTAACACCACCACACATGGAACACACACTACCAGACACACACCACCACACACTACTCAGCTACCAGATAAGGGTCTAGTAGCTGAGTGGACAGCGCGCAGGACTCGTAATTCTGTGGCCTGGGTTCGATTCCCGGACCAGGCAGAGACAAATGGGCAAAGTTTCTCTCATCTTAAATGCCCATGTTACCTAGCAGTAAATAGGTACCTGGGAGCTAGACAGTTGTTACGGAGCTGCTTCCTGGGTGTGTGTGTGGGGGGGAAAAAAAAGTAGTTAGTTAGTAGTTAGCAACAGTTGATTGACAGTTGAGAGGCGGGCCGCAAGAGCAAAGCTCAACCCCCGCAAGCACAACTATGTGAATACTCACTGGAGAGTCACCCTTTAGTGATCTAAACTATGGAGAAAGAGGCTCACCGTCATACTGTTTGGGGAATCGGCTCAGCCTATTATCACGAGTACACACCCCACGGAGCCGACAAAACTTACCTTCTCTCTCCTTGCTTTGGGATGACCTCTTTCTAGTTCCCCTTTATGATATTATTCCTGCTGTCGACCAGCCACAGTTATTTTTCTCTCTCTCTCTCTCTCTCTCTCTCTCTCTCTCTCTCTCTCATTCTTGAAATTCTCACTAGGACAAATGCAAAACAAGTTGTCTACAGACAAACATTTATTAGAATAATATAAAGAATGAAAAATACCAGCATAGTATCATCAGGTCCAACAAACTAGCTTCACGCCTATATAATATCAGTGTTCCACCAAGTAAACTATGCGAGGCTGCTACTTAATCTTCGCCCGCATCCTCCTGCCTCCTCGACGTCAGGGTTAGGCAACTTGCATATAAATTAACTGAAACAAGAAAATATTAACGCTCTCACCTTACACCGCGCCATTCATAACATGAATTCATGAACTCCCTCAAACAATAATTATTTCCATATAATTCTATGTATTGGGTCCTGAGGCCCACCACTAGTACTATCCATCAATGGGTCCTCAAATTAAGTGTGAACTTCTACAGTCTCTTCAATATTATTGCTGCGTCTAACAATGACCAAACACGTCCACCAAGTACCACTGCTACTTGAAGTTCCACCATATACCTGAAGATCCTCTACATAGGCTTCACCATACACGTAGTTCTCCTATACCATTGAAGTTCCACTATACACTTGAAAATGCACCATATGAACTTCACCAGATACGAACCTCACTAGACTTGAAGCTCATACCCAAAGTTCCTCATACACGAACTTTACCATACACAAACCCTGCAATTCCATTACCATATAATAATTACATGTTCTTCTATCAAACACAAATAATATTCATAAACTAAATTTCATCCTACAATGTCCAACTGCCGCATCTGCACTAAAAGTGCACTCCCCCACAATGGACGAGTCCACCAAGTTAATCTTCTACCGCCTGGGGCTTCCTCCCCTCAGTCGTACACTGCACTCGTCTGAGTGATCATATGTCGCTCCCGCCTCCATAATATCAAATCATCGCAAACTCCTCACATTGTCTCATTATTTTCATAAACTCTCTAACCTACATTCACAAACGTCCTATAAAATCGCTGGGCACATGATCTAACTATAACAAGCTCTACATGACAGAATATTGGTCTCATACCACAAAAGGATGTCGTGACAACACCTGTCCAACGATGCCCGAATATGGTGCTCTTCCCGGTCGTCCATAAATTTCTCTTGGACGTGCAATTATCGGCACCTGCCCGTTTTGACTTGAGCGTGAGAAGTCATGTAACAGGTGCCACACAGGAACACCTGCCCAATATATCCACTTAAAATATTTACACACAGTTGGGTCCTGAAAGACACGACCACTCAATAAGCTTCAGGTCGCCCCTATATCATTACCATAATAACTGAGAATACATTACACATCGTCCTCCAACAGCTTCTTCATACGCTGTTTACATAGTCTCTCACCAATTCTTCATCATGAGCTACAAAACTTCCTTCTTCATTAGGAAGCAAAAACATATGTCCGTCTCCGTCGACTCTCACGACTCGTCCATCCAGCGGTTGACCCCAAAGACACATTCATTAATGTTAACATGCTGTTCATTCAAAATAGGAATTTTCTCAAAGATAAATTAATATTGTTATATACTAGCATACTGTGCATATTTAGGCATTGGTTAAGTTAGGTGTTTAGGTTCCGTTGGTGATTATTTGTATTTGTAGTACGTGGGTGAAGCATTAATAGCGTTGTGGTTCAAACAAAATTCGTCAGTGAAGCACTTGTTCCAGAAGTGTTTGAACAAAATCAGTTGTGACTTGTGTAAACCGTTTTTCATTCATAAATAGGGGGTTTGGCAGGTACATGGAATCACTTTTCGGTCTTTGTTTGGAGGACGGGCTGGTATTTGTAGTACTTGAGTGAAGCATTTACAGCGTTATGGTTCAAACAAAAGTCGTCAGCGAAACACATGTTCTGGATGTGTTCGGACGTCACCAGTTGTCATGTCGTGTGTAAACCGTTTTTCATTCATAAACAGGGGGTTTGGCAGGTTCATGGAATGCATTTTGGCCTTGGTTTATGATTACAAGCAGGTTTATGAATAACAAATATTTTACACAAGATTTACAACTGATGACATTAAAAATTTTCTCGAGCAATGCATCGCTCACATCCTCTGTTCAAATCGAACCTCTCAGGGCCTCATTCACATTCTGTAAATACAAATAATTGCATTATTTATTTTCGTTTTCAGAAATCATTTTCATCAAATGATTGACTATAGAGGAAAACTCGACCCTCAATTGTAAAGACAAACTTGCATAAACAACAAGCCGAATGAATCAGAACAACCCATCCTCGACTCAAGTCCATTACATTCAGCGGTCAACCCCACAGACGCATTCATATATTTTAACATGCTATTCATTCAAAACGGGAAATTTCTCAAGTATAAATTAATATTATAATATATTAGCATATTGTGCATATATAGGCATAGGATAGGTTAGGTTAGGTGTTTAGGTTCTGTTGGCGATTATTTGTATTTGTAGTACGTGGGTGAAGCATTTATAGCGTTATGATTCGAACAAAATTCGTCAGTGAAGCACTTGTTCTGGATATGTTCGAACGTCAGCAGTTGTGAGTCGTGTGTAAACCGCTTTTCATTCATAAACAGGGGGTTTGGCGGGTGGATGGAATCACTTTTGGATCTTTATTTGGAGGACGGGCTGATCAGAAAGACTCATTTCTTGGAAAGTTTCGAACCTTAGACTGTCAGGAGTTTATAACCCACTTACAAGTCGAGAACTCTGACCACATGACCACACAGACTATTCGAAAGTATTGGATACTCTTTAGTGGTAACCTTCTTTTGCTGAAACTGACAACATTATTCGGAGGACCTATGACGGTTCCTCGACCTAGAAATGGCTTCTTAAACTTTTGCTGGGATCAACTGCACTACGGACCAAATCAATCTCTTAAATCTGGGAATAAACTGTCACGTTATCTCCAGACCAAGTGAGATGGCCCGGAAAGTGAAGTTGGAGATCCTATTGGACGACATATTCGACCTCGAGTAGCAAAAGAAGGTTATCACTAAAGACACATTGCAAGCTGAACTTATTGCGGAGGGAGGAAAGATTCGAGGTTACTACAGGACAACCAAAGTAGGGTAAATGGAGACAATGGCCATGTGCCACACCTGGGCAGGTGAGCCAATTAGGCCCCTGCAGAGATGTTGCACACGTATGTAGTCTCGGGGGGGGGGCGGGGGCCCCATGGGTGTGCGTGCGTCGTCGCGCAGGATGTTTATGAGATGCGGTGGGTGGCTGGGCATGTCGGAAAATCCGACACCATTTAATAATAATATCATACAGACAGATAAGAGCTGTGTTGTATAAACAAGTTACCCATAGAAAACGTAACTTGTAGTGGAATTACCGTCTATAGAAAACGGGATATCATCACCACATACTATTATAATTCACCAGCTATTTTGCTGGGAATTATTCTTAAATACATTAGTCTTTGGACTTTACCATCATAAAAACATCTTATATAAATTAACTTAATTATCAATATTAAAGTAGAGTAAATGTGACCCTTCTATCACTTTCTGAAATCTGGACAAAGTAGGCCAGGCGTCAGTGGGGAAGGAGGGCAGCCATTGTTATACGAGACCAGAGGCTCACACGGGAGCAAATTCGGCTCCTGTTAATTTTACTTGGACGTAGTGTTATGGATACCAAAGGTGTACCATCTGTCAACAAATCAAGTTAAGTGTTCTTTCCGAAACCCATTATTTATCATTAGTGGCCATTAATGTCATTATATAGGGTGACCCGGTTAGATCACATGGAAGCCTCAAACTAAAGGTAATTAAGCCAGGTCTTCATGTTCCATGTACTGTTTTCTCTGATATACTTGTCATATATAGGTATCTGGCTTCACAGCTAGCGCACTTTTGACAGGTCAAGACGAGGATGCAAGATTTTGTGCACCAGTTACTGGGTGATATGGAAGCTACCTCAAAGAGGATAATTTGGTGTCTACACCCTAGTTATACCTGGTGGACTAACCTGCTGTACTATAAGATAAGGAACCTCATCAATGTATGTAGCTATTACTGTAGTTTGATTGGCTGCATATATATAAACTAATAAACCCCCCCTAATGTGTAGAGGATCGATTTGTGAGATTATGAGATTATTGCAGAAATACAGTCCACTTAACATTATACAAATTGCTATCGAAGTATATAAATTAACGTAAATA